GTGAGGTGGGTGGGCAGAACCCACCTTTGCTCTCCTCTGTTGTGCCGTGACAGGTCGACTCAAGCGCTGAAGGTAAGAGACTTCTCTGGGGTTCTTCATTGTCAGCCACAATCTGCTGAACAAAGCCAACCAAGGGCAGAGTATACATTTATCAGTATAAAGACCCCATTCTGTTATCTGTGGAGGCCAGTCCATTAGGGCAGTGTTCCCCAACCTTGGGCCTCCAGCTGTTTTTGGACTACAACTCCCATCATCCCTCGCTAGCAAGACCAGTGGTCAAGGATGATGGGAATTGTAGTCCAAAAACAGCTGGAGGCCCAAGGTTGGGGAACACTGCATTAGGGCATTTGAAGGAGAGTCCATTTGACTCTCCTTCCTTGGAGGTTTTTGAGCAGAGGTTGGGTGGCCACCTGTCATGGAACCTTTAGTTGAGATTCCTGCATTGTGGGGTGGTGGTGGACTACATAACTATCAAGGTGCCTTCCAACTCTACAATTCCATGTTTCTACGAAATGGGGCCCTACCCCACCACACTCAGTCTCCCCTCAGCCAACCCCGCTTGCCTAAAAAAAAAAGAAAAGGTAAAGGACCCTAGACGGTTAAGTCCAGTCAAAGGTGACTATGGGGTTGCAGCCTACCTACAACCAATCCGGGGGGTGGCCCTGCCTGTCAGCTTACTCCCCCTTAGTCTCAGTGTTGCCCCTTGTAGAACTTTGCTGAGAAGAAGAGGACAAAATGAGAATTAGTTGGCTTTCCCGTTTCATGGGCTCTGGTTCCCCCATTACTGGGCTTCTTGCCTTCTGCTCCATAAGTTCCAGTGAGCATCAGCTGCCACTGAATGAATGTTGTTCTTATCTTTGCACAGCAGCAAAGGTCAAAGGTTTCTACATGTGCGTGTCTCTACATGTGGGCAAGCCAGAGACAAGCACATGTATGTGGGGGTTATCATATGAGAGGAAGGATTTGCCTGGCAGAATTGGTGGTGGTTGTTGCATCAATTCTTCCCTGGGCCTCCCCCCAACCCCTGCATTTCCTTTACCTTGACAGAAGCAGATTTTGGATAACCTTCTAAGTTCTGCCCATTGAATATCTTAGTTTCTCTGCATTTGCACTTTTGCACAGCTGAGCCCATCTCTATCTCAGTACAACAAGTTCTGCCCTGTTTTACAAGGCTTCTGTCAATATCCCTTGCGAGCCCAAGTGCCTTCCATATGGAGATTGTTTATTTGCACAAATATTTGCACAATGATTTAAATGGGCATTCCCTGAGTTGGGATGAGGGGTGGAGCCTCAAAATGTTTGGCCAGATACTAATCAAGTAGGTAATAAACCTCTGATTACCTCTGATTCACCTTTTAATTGTATCTGAGATAACACAAGGAACTCTTAGCTCTCAAACTGCCCAGGGTATGTTTGTTGGCTGATAGCTATAGCAATTTAAATTATGATGATTTCAGGAGGAATTTCCAGTGGAGGCTTTCGTTGAAATGCAAATAACAGCTTCAAAAAAGTGGGGTTTGTCAGAAAAATGGCAGGGATACAAAAAAAGAAAAGAAAAAAATCTCCTCATAGTTTCAGGGCTGCTCAAGATCCCTCCACCAGGCATTTATATAACAAAAAACCTCAACTGCATAATGCAATTAACAACACATCTAGCTTAATTAGGAGGCCTACCTAAAAGATAGACTCACCCCTTATATTCCCAGTCAGCAAATGCACTCTGCATTTAATGGTTGGATCACTTGTATGTTGGCTGCCCTGGGCTCCTTTGGGAGCCCACCTACGCAAAACGTAAACCAAATACTCAAAGTGAAGCACAGCTTTGACTTTTACCTTTCTCTTGGTTTTCATTTCATTTATTAGACTTATCTGTCGCTTGTCACCCGAAGGTCTCCAAGTGACTTACAGTAAAAAAAAAAAAAAGGCAGAGGGCCTTCTCGGTAGTGGCACCCGCCCTGTGGAACGCCCTCCCACCAGATGTCAAAGAGAAAAACAATTATTATTATTATTATTATTATTATTATTATTATTATTACTGCTCCTCTCCTGCAGCTGGTGGGGGTGCAGAGCAGAGGCGTACCTGCCTGGGAATTTATCTTTCCACTAGATGTCAAGGCCAGCTGTTGCAAATCAGTGGTGGGTGGGTCCAGGGTCCTCCAGGGGTGGTCCGGCATCTCTCCTCTCCCAAAGCAAAGCAGGAGGATGGTATCAAAAGTTTTACCAGGATTTGAGATGCAGTTCACTACCCAAACACGCACATGTGCATATATTCAGGAAAACAACGCACAAAAACGCAACATGTTAGAGAAAGGAACTTGCAGAAATGCATATATTAGGCAAAATTCTGTTTTAAAAATTGCATATATTATGAGAGGTGTACATGACAATGAATAAGAATTACCATGCAGGTGGTTTGTTTGTTCTTGAAAAGAAAATCCCTAAAATTTCAAAATAGGACTAACTGCATTTAAGATTTAAGAGAGAAGTCGAAATTGACACATTTGTCCATCTCTGCCTCACCAAAAACCCACCAAAACCTCAGACTTGCCTGGTTTCTTAAAGCTTCCCTCCTCCCTGACCTCTGCCCTCATTCCACTTCCACAATGTGGGTTATATATTATAGATTTTAGCTATCATCATACCAGGGCTGTCAGTTCTTTGATAAATAGTGTTATCAGTGCTTGCTGCCAAGAAAGATCAGGCAAAATGCTGCCCTTTCCCCTGCCCACTTTTAGGGCACAGAGAGCCACTAGAGAGTAAGCTGCTTATATAAGCCCAGCTATTTGGTGAGCTGAACTAGTCAGGTGCCTTCAGCAGGTAAGCGAGATCCTTTTTCTATTCTTTGCCGAGTGAGCAATGCTTTTTATATGGGCAGAGATAAGTAACCTGTATGTCAGCAGAAAAGTCCAGGCTTGCAGAAAAGCCATTGGGAATGAAAGCAAGCTTAACCATATAGCCCTTGTGTGCGGCTGGGAAGCACACCTGGTTAGCAATGGCAGACACTCCAGTAAGTCCCTATTTTCCAGGGACAGTCCCGGATTTATAGAAGGCGTCCCTGTTTCTAATTTGATCCTGGGATGTCCCACTTTTCCTTATATTCATCAGAGAAATGTTGAAGGGTATGCAATGGCTGCAGAAAGGCGTGGGCATGTTTTTTAGCATGAAAATTCTATTCCTGATGCAATGCTGGTCTTATCAAATGCTGTTAGGTAGCCCTTGTGTTTCAGAAGTCCAGCTGCCTTCAGCCAGAAATCAGGCTTTAGTGGCACCAGTTCCATGCTATGGAATGCAGAACTCTTTCAGCAGAGATTCGGCAAGCTTCCTTGCTGTTAGTTTTCATATGTTTCTTGAAGACCTTTTCTTTTCTTTTTTATAACAATTTTTATTAATTTTAACATATAAGTTATAATACGTACCACAAAACTTTGTCACTTATACAATTATTTTGGACTTCCATCAGCACGTCTGATGATCCACCGTTTTAACCACTTCTTATGCATTTCTTAAATTTATATTACTTTTAAATATCTTAACTAATCATCCTCCCCCTTACCCATTTTTGCAATACTTCCAATAATACTCCTCACAAAACTTCTTGCAAAGCTACAAACGTCATCTGATCTTCACAAATACTTTTCAAATAATCCATAAATTTACTCCAGTCTTCTGTGAATTTCTGGTCCCACCGATTTCGAATCCTTCCTGTTAGTTTATCCAGTTCTGCATAGTCCATTAATTTCATCCTCCATTCTTCTTTCGTTGGTAATTCTTCTTGCTTCCATTTTTGGGCTTCTTGAAGACCTTTTCATGCCAACAGGACCCTCTATTCAGTTCAGATTGTCTTAAGGCGAGCCTGCCATTTTTTAATGAATATTTTTATTGCTTTTACACCCCCCCCCCTTAAAACTGTTGTTTTTGTGGTGTGGACAGGGTTTGGATCTGGTGCAACTTTATCTTGGCTTAACTTGCACTGGCTTGCTTCCACCAGCTTCCTGCAATGGTATATGTCAGATGGCAATGGTGGTTGCTCGTGAGTAACCAGTCAGGACTCCAACCTGTCTTTTACAGGTTTTATTTTGGTGCAAAACTATTTACAGTGCAGAGCCACAAGTTCATGTCTGCCTCAATCGCTAGCAGAATCCGGGAGTGGTCATTTCCGGGTCCTCCCCCAACATAAGAGCTTGGTCTCCCCAGCCTTTTCCTTCCTTCTTTCTGTTTTACACCTCTGCGCAGGGTGGGCAACGGAAGAGGCATGCTTCCCTCCTGGCCAACTTGGCCAGGAGCAGTGCTGAGGCTCCCAGCAGCATCCTCTGGTCCCTTCCCCTCTTCCCCACTGGAGGTGTGGCTTTCCCCACCACAGGAAGAGGAACTGCTTCGCAAGATTTTCGGAGGTTCCCTGTAACCCAACTGCCCTTCTGCTTCCCTACCCTGTTCCGATGGCAGTACCCTGACAGTATATATCTTTTTTCTAGAAAAAGAGGCGCCAGAACTTGTTGACCTTTTTTTAGGGGGCGCACCCCTTCTGACTCCGTTGCGCAGCAGGAATGCACCAAAGAGGTGCAAGAACTCAATTCCAGTGAGTTCCAGCTGAAAAAAAGCCCTGTTTTCAATAATTTGCACATTTTTGCAAATACAATGCTTCTGGTGTGTTATTTTCACAAATTTTCCCATTGTTTCACACACTTTCACCTAATGTATGCATTGTTGGGTTGCAAAACTACCTTGCAAAAGCGTGAATTTTGAAACTACCTTGCAAAAGTGTGAATCTGGAAAAGTGTGAATTTTGAAGAATAACTGCATTCCGTATTGTGTATTGGTTCTAACTGTCTGACTTCCACAGTTCCTTGTGGAAATGCAAACAAAATCAATTTTCTCCCCACCCTACCCAGGTAAGACAAATGATCAGAGCAAAAAAGTTAAAGAAAAGAAAAGAAAACTCATGCACACACTCACACAGAATCTGCAGATGACCTGAACTTCTTTCTTTTGCTGTTTTGTAGCCATGGCCAGGAGGCTGCTGCTGCTTTTGACCAGGCTGGCGCTCCTATCTGGTGAGTTTGGTACTTAATTAACCTGCAGGTTGGCCCCACAAGGGAGACACTTCTTGAATTTTGTCTCTATGGAGCAACTACAGATGCTGACAGAACAGGGACTCACTCAGAGCCTGGCAAATTTCTCTTTGACCAAAAATCCCACACTGTGGCTCTCAGACACACAGCCCAATGTATTGTTGGCTGAGTCTGTGCTAACACAGGCCACGGGTCATCATCACCTGTACTATATCCTAAACTTTAATCAGTCAGATTTCTGATTTAGGTGGTTCTCATTTCCCCCTGTATTTGGCAAACTCATGTGAGCATCTCCCACAGAGGAATATTCCTGATCTTCCTGAGATACATTTTCCTTGATATAACCAAATAGAGCTCTTAAAAAGTCCCTCTGATAATTTTCTGTCGATTATCGAGAGAGATGATTTTTTTGGAAGAAGATGCAAGTGTCAGATCAGTATAGAGTATTCCAAAAGCTATCACACCAAGTGATTATAGCACAGCATTGAGATACTTGCATTGAGAAACGTCCTTTTGGGATGTGGGCTATCACAGGAAAAGCTGGATATTCTTAGGGATGCTTCATAGCATGTCAATAGATGAATAATCATTTATTGAGCTTTCTCAGATGCCACCTCTTTGATATAACCAAATAGAATTATTAATGGCTTCCTTTAATTTTCTGTCTGTTGCAAGATAGGATAATAAAGTACACAAAACTCTAATTGCTGCCACATCATGTGATTAGGGCACAGCATTGAGATACTTGCACTTTACTAATTATCTGTTCCTTCTGCCTTTCAGGGTTCTGTGGAGCAGATTACCGTGGGAAGGAATTTGTAACATGCTACCTGCAGAACTACTTGGCAAGCCAGCAAAGTCCTAGGCTTGAGCTGCTTATCACCGGATATCATCCTGCAACCACCGTCACAGTCACAGTGAACAAATCCTCATTCCAGAAAACGGTTTTAGTCTATGAGAAAGATACAGTGTCTGTTGTGGTCCCGACCTCTTTGGAGTTGACGGGGAACAATATCTTTGATGGGGTTGTCAGGATCCAAGCTGACAAAGATATCTTAGTCTTTTCCTACAACTACAAGCTTACGTCAAGTGCTGCCACAGTCGTCTACCCAGTTCATCAGCTGGGCACACAATATTATGTGGTAACGCCAGAAGGGCATCTCTCAAACACTTTCAAGGAATTTGCAGTTGTAGCCTATCAGTTTCCCACTCAAGTCACGATTCACCTGAAAGGGGCCGTGACATTCCAAGGGAAAGTTTATGCTGCAGGGAGCAGGCTTGTTGTTGACCTCAAAGCCTTCCAAGCAATTCAGCTGCAAAGCTCAGTTGATTTGTCTGGCAGCAAGGTTGAATCAGATTCGCCCGTGGCTGTTTTGAGTGGGCACAGCTGTGCCATACAGTTCTCAGAATGTGACCATGTCGTTGAGCAGCTCTTGCCTGTTTCCAGCTGGGGCACCACCTTCATAGTTCCTCCACTGTCTTTTCAACCTAGAATAGACATTGTGTATGTCATCGCTTCCCAAAATACTTTGATCCAATACCAGTCTGGGGTCAACCAAGGCTCCCGTCGTGCAGTGGCTGGAGAAATCATGCGGTTTGAGAAGCAGCCTTCTCAGGTCCTTTCCTTATCTGCTGATGTAGGAATCCAGGTCCTTTTTTTCTACACTGGTACCAATAATGGAAATTGCCAGTACGATCCATTCCTCATCAATGTTCCAGCCTTAACAAGCTATTGCACGTCATATCACATTGATGGGATTAGGGACTTTGATAATTTTGCTGTCATCATGGCCAAAACCTCAGTTTCTGGTGGGATCACATTGGAGAAAAAAGCCATTACCAATGTTGAATGGGCACCAGTCCCTGGAACAGAATATTCTTTTGCTCTACTCAGCTTGGGCAAAGAAACCAGTGCCCTCTCTGTAGAACATCCCACCACTCCTTTTGGACTCTTCATCCTTGGAGGTGCCAAGAGCAATGGTTATGGCTCCGTGGCCATTTGCTCCTGTGGTAAGTATCCAGATCTGTGCATTTGGTTTAAGGATGTTGTTTTTTTGCTACAAATGAGAAGTTAGACTATATAATTAAAGTTTGTTACATCTTACTGAATATCCCTACCCTTGTTTGTGGTTTCTTCCACTTCCAATATTTTCATCTTTTTGCCTTCCAGCATTGGATGCTGTGTTTTAACATTACTGTCTGCTCATTTGTAGATTGTGAAAGAAAGTGGCCCCTTATGGGCAGTAACTGGAGGACCTCAGTAGATCACAATGGACCTGGGAATGGAACTTTAGCTGCCGCTATTTCAGTGTCCTAGTTTCCAGTATACTTTCCATATATAGAATAAAGGACTGTAAAATGGTCTAATTTGATGAATTTTGATTTTCTGCCTCCCACTCTCAAATCTTCCCCCTTTTGTCTCAGGTTCCATCTCCTTGCCTGTGCCTTCCAGCCTCTTCTTCATTCGTCTCCTCTTTCTAACTCCAATACCTAATCTGTACCATCCCTGCAGCCATCTTGTATTTCCCTGCTCCTCGTGTTTCACTGTTTCCCAGGGTCTCCTTCTGCCCCTCAGGCTCTCTGAGAAACCTACTCTCCACTTGGATCTTAATTCCAGTGTACTCACACCTTTCCTTTCTTCCTGAGAAGGCAAATTTAAACCATATTGATTGCCTTATTGCCTGAGCAATCAGAATGTCCATAAGGCAACCAGATAAGTCGCTATTCAGAAGCCTGTTTCCCTTGTTTTGTCTGTCTGCAGCATCCTCCCCTAGTTACTAATGATGCTTGCTTTTGCAATGACACCACCATTGTTCTGTTCCAGACAAACCAGTGTCTCCATGCAGCTTGATCCAGTGCAGGAAGAAGGAGAAGTGTGAAATCATAGGAGGTGATCCAGTGTGTGTGCCAGAGTCTGAATCCAACTGCTGGGCCCAAGGAGATCCTCATTATCACACCTTCGATGGGAAGAAATTTGACTTCATGGGCACCTGTACCTACACTATTGCCAAGACTTGTGGCTCAGATGCAACTCTTCCTTCCTTCAGTGTTGAAGCCAAGAATGAGAACAGGGGAGGAAATACTCGTGTTTCGTACATTGGCTCTGTGACAGTCACAGTCTATAACACCATCATCAAGGTGGTCAGAAATGAGAAAGGCTTTGTGAGGGTGAGAACGAAAGAAATATTTCTATTTCTTTAAAAAAGCAACCTATTTTCCCCAAGAGTCCATCAGAATCTACTCTGGTTGCTTCTTGTCTTGCTTGTATGCTGTAATGCAGGCATGTGGAACAGAAGATCTGGCAAAGTCTCCCTGCCCCCATTTGCTAACCTGGACTGATCTCTGGCCACTCCCCCCCTGCTCCCTCCTTCTGCCCCTCCCCCCACCAGCCAGGGCCCCACTTTTTTAGTGTTTGAGGAGGAGCTGTTTTCATTTTATGCCATACCTACTTTGCAGTTGGCTGTATCCGCCTGCCATTGGGCACTGGGAATGATAAAGGTAAAGTTACCCTTGCCCGTACGGGCCAGTCTTGACAGACTCTGGGGTTGTGCGCCCATCTCACTCAAGAGGCCAGGGGCCAGCGCTGTCTGGAGACACTTCCGGGTCACGTGGCCAGCATGACAAGCTGCATCTGGCGAGCCAGCGCAGCACACGGAAACGCCGTTTACCTTCCCGCCAGTAAGCGGTCCCTATTTATCTACTTGCACCTGGGGGTGCTTTCAAACTGCTAGGTTGGCAGGCGCTGGGATCGAGCAATGGGAGCGCACCCCGCCGCGGGGATTCGAACCGCGACCTTTCGATCGGCAAGCCCTAGGCGCTGAGGCTTTTACCCACAGCGCCACCTGCGTCCCTCACTGGGAATGATAGCACTGCCCAAATAGCTGAGGCTTTGGGGCCTTCTCACCATTTTTAATTTAAACATGTTCTCCCAAAATAAGAGCGGTAGTGAGACAGAATTAGCTACAAGCCTAGATGGCTCAGTAAACTGATCTGGTGAGATGCCATCTTTGGGATCAATGATCCAGTGAGTGCCCAGGAGCAGCACCTACCTCTACTTGGTCCTGTTCTGTCACTTAGCCCATGAGATCTTTTTTTGCAGGGGAGGGGGGAGGGATCTGGACTACAGGGTTCCAGATATTTGCCTGGCAATCCACTCTAGTGACAGCACTGTGGCCCTCCAGATGTTACTAAACCCCAGCCCTTATCAGGCCCAACCAGCAAGGCCAATGAAGAGTCCAACGACATCTGTAGGACCACAGAGGTCCCCCAACTCTGCTGTAATGGTTTCCTTAGCACTGCATTTTCAATTATTCCTTCTTGCACTGTACTTTCCAGACACAGGTCTGCAGTTAAAAGCTCTGTGTCCAAGTGTTATTTTTTCTTTTTCTTTTGCCCTGGAACTTTCCCTGGGAAACCTATGTTTTACCACTGAATCAAAAAGCAATTGACAGAAAATGTGCTTTTCATTTGCTCTGATTCGGCAGTAAAATGTGGGTTTCCCCAAGGAAAGTGTGTGTTGGTCTTTTTCATATACGTTCCTATTTTACATCCATCTCATTCAGCAGGCTATATGATGTAACAAACCCAATAGGTTGTATCCAACCAAGTTCTACTCTGGGCACACCCACTGAAATTAATGGACCCAAGTTAGTGCATTAATTTCAACAGGCCTGCTCTGAGTCTGACTGACATTGGATACAATCTACAGTCTTGTTCTGCTCTTGGTTGCATCTGAGTTTTCTCTTGCAGGTGGACAACCTGCGGTTCCGCCTGCCCATCTCCCTCCATGAAGGAAAACTCCGTCTCTACCAGAGTGGGAGCTCTGTCTTCATTGAGACAGATTTCTCCCTGAAGGTCTCCTATGACTGGAACACCTACCTGGTGGTGAAGCTCTCCAGCAGCTTTTATGAAAATGTCTGCGGACTTTGTGGCAACTACAATGGAGACCCCGCTGATGACTTCAGCAAACCCGATGGGGCCTTGGCTCCCAACCCCAATGAGTTTGGAAAGAGCTGGAAAGTAGACGATGGTGACAGGTTGTGTTGGGATGACTGCCACGGGGAATGCAAAACCTGCTCCCCAGAAATGGCCAAGAAGTATGAAGGTGAACCATTCTGTGGCTGGCTCATCAAAGGAGAGGATGGCCCATTCAGCAAGTGTCATGCTGTGATCGACCCCAACCCCTATCTGGGGAACTGTGTCTATGACCTCTGCTTGAATGATGGGCTGAAGGAGCTTCTTTGTGATGCGCTGAATACCTACGCAGTTGCTTGCCAGGAAAAGGGAGTTGCTATATCTGACTGGAGGACCCGCACTGGTTGCGGTGAGTGTCCCTGGGTGCTGAGTAGAGCACAGCAGATTTTATTTTCATTATTTGGCTTAAAAAGTATGTTCTCCCTTATGTCATGAGGTACATAATGTCAAGCCAGGGCATTTCATGCTCTGCAGATCTCTGCACGAAGACTTTTTCACTGAGCCTAGCATTCACTATTAAGGAAGATTCTTGTCCCCACTATGACAGAGAGAGATGATTTGAAGGGACTCTAGGAATAGAGTGTGACAGCAGAAGCAGAATCTCTATAGTTTTTTTTAATTAAAAAATCAGTTCCGTGTAACAGCTGAATAGGGATGGGCTAGGAAGGCAAATAGTGGATATATTATTTCACCTGTATTGAACACTTCAAGGTGAGAATTGCATATGAGGTTATCCTGTTTTATTTCTGCAGTGCTCTAGCAGGGAGTTTAGGTTGGCAGAATCTAGAACACCTTGCTTCCGGCTCGCACTGTCTTCTAAGCTTTTAATCTTGTGCTATTGATAAGGATCTTGTCTCTTTCGACAGGTGCATCCTGCCCCGAGAACAGCCATTATGAGCTCTGTGGGTCTCCATGTCCTGCCACCTGCAATGACCAAGCTGGGCCCAAGAATTGCTCCTCGATGTGTTGCGTGGAAGGCTGCCAATGTAACGAGGGCTTTGTGTTGGATGCTGGGAAATGCATCCCCAGGTCTGCCTGTGGGTGCGTGTTTGAGGGGAAGCACCTGCTTCCCGGTGAGCACTTCTGGGGAGACAAGACATGTACGAAAAGGTGCTTCTGTGACCCACAGACAAGACAAGTGAGCTGCCAGGCAGTGAGCTGCGGAAAGGGAACGGAGTGTAGGGTCGAGGGTGGCATCCAGAACTGCTACCCAACCGATTTTGGCAACTGCTCTGCCTCTGGCGACCCGCACTACATTAGCTTTGATGGCCGGAAGTTTGACTTCCAGGGCACCTGCGTGTATCAGTTGACTGGGCTGTGTGAGAAGAGGGAAGACCTGGTCGATTTCCAGGTCCTCGTCGAAAATGACCAGCGAGGCGGCCAGTCTGTGTCCTATACCCGGACTGTAGAGGTGAAAGTTTATGGGGCATCCATTGTGATGAGCAGAGGGAACCCTGCAAAAGTCAAGGTGAGTTTGTCATAGAGGTGGGGAACCAAATGCAGGGGCAGAGGAAGGGGGGTGCGGTGGGTGCAGACCACCCCAGGTGTCACCACTGAGAGGGGTGACAAAATGCTGAGCGGCACTCATCATGGGGCCTGCAGCGCACCTGAGCCATGTGTCTCTCCTGGGAGAGTCTCAGTGGCTTGGGCATGCGCAGGCTGCCCAAACGGTCTGCCTGCTGCCTCCCCCCCAGCTGTATGGCAGCTGAGTGGGAGGAGGCAGGCAGACTCCAGAGACCCCGCGATGCACGCCACCACTATGGGTGGCTCGCCCTGCCCCTGGGTGTGCCACCCCAGGCGCCCAAGCAGCTTCCCCACCGCTGACCATCTCCCCAAGGCATCTCCTTGCTACACTGGCCTTGCTTTGTACCCTCCTTGAGCGCTTTTGCATGACTTGAATGTGTCCTTTGAACCCTGGTCATGCTTGCTTGGAAGAAAGATATAGAGGCATATATGAGTATGCATGAAACTAGCCTAGGTACATAGGTAAAATTAGCATTCATTGCTCTGCCCACTTTTGCTTCTGACCCCTCTCACCAGTGGCATGTGGTCCCCAGGAAGTTGCCCGGAAGGGAATGTGGTTCTCAGCCTGAAAAAAGTTCCCCACTCCTCATCTGGAACATCTCTGTTGGAAACTATTGAGAATTGGGGAAGGGAGTATTCTGATAATGACCTGGCATGGTTCCTTTCCTCTCCCTGGCTAGTGCCCAGAAGAAAGATGAAATGGGCTGCCTTGTGTCCATTTTCCATAGCTTTTGAAAAGAAACCATTCTGTGATCATATTAAATCTATTTTCCAGTATTATTATTATCTTTTTAAAGGGAAACTTTACTTCACTAATCTAGTACAGAGGGTTATCCTTTTTTGGTTGCAGAGGTGAGAGGAACAAAACAGGCAGGGGCAAATTTCCCAGATTGTGTGTTACCAGAAGTTTCACCCCTAACAGAAAGCTAAGATCAGCAAGTGAATTCTTTGTGGGAAAATACTTGATACCTAACAGAGAATTTTTAAAAAGTTAAATTTCCTCTCCTCCCCGCAAGTGATAAGTTTTGCTGCTGATCCCTGCTCTGGAACAGCCTTGCTTAGTCTTCTGCCTCCCAAGTGTTACTCGTCTCCCAACTCCCACCAGTCCTGGCCAGCACAGCCAAGGGACAGGGATGATGGGAGTAGTAGTCCTAAGTACCTGGAGAGCACCAGGTTGGGGAAACATCATGGATTACAAAGGCACTTCTGAAATGCCCCCTTTTTTTGAATGGGCTCTAGGTGAACGACTTGCTGACCAACCTGCCCTACAGCATCGACATCAACAGAATCTCCGTATACAGGAAAGGGCAAGGGGCAGTGGTCCAGACAGACTTCCAACTGACTGTCATCTTTGATGGGATCAGTCGGGTCACTGTGTCTGTGCCCAGCAGCTACCGTGGTGCTCTGTGTGGTCTCTGTGGGAACTTCAATGGCAACAAGCAGGACGATCTGACCATGAAAGATGGCACAGTGGCTCCGCACCCATCAGACTTTGGTCAGAGCTGGAAAGTGCGGGAGGTGCCAGGCTGCAGCAAAGGGGGCACGGAAGAATGCCCTGCTCTGTCAGCCATTGAGAAGAATCAACGGAACCTCAACAAGGAGTGTGGGCTCATCCTAGCCAAGAGCGGCCCCTTCAGAGAATGTCACAGCAAAGTGGATCCAGAAGGATACTTCCAAGATTGTGTGTACGATTATTGCTTCTTTGATGGCCAACAAGCTGTGATCTGCCAGGTCATTGCCAGCTATGCTGCAGCGTGCCAGGAAGCTGGGGTGACCATCTATCCTTGGAGATCGGACACCTTCTGCAGTAAGTGCTAATGCCCTGAGCTGTTTTCTGAAATTTCTCAGATTTTCAGAGTTACAGAGAACTCGGTAACCTATTTAAAATGACACGCCAAATATATCAATGCTTATTTTTCTTTTTAAAGTATATATTCAAATTTTGTCTCTGTACCATTTCAGGTAAAACTTCATGTAAAACTTTTCCCAGCTGAGAAAGTCTCATTGTCCCCCCCCTCCAAGTGATGGACAGACCTGCCCACTCTCTCAGTTTCTTAGTTTTTCTAATTTGAAATTCAGCTGTCCACATTTCAGAAGGAATCTGCAATTTTTGAAAGCGGGGGAGAAATCCCCATTAAACTTTGTCAGCATTTTAGTACCAATTTCTACTTACAAACACATTTTTGCAAGTAATTTCCCCATAGATAATGTGCTTTGGTATGCTATTTTCACTAAAATGTTCATTTTAATGGCCATTTCCCACCAAATATAGGCATTTTTTGGAAATACTAGTTGGTTGGAGAATTGCATTGCGATTTTGGAAATTATGAATTAAGCAGTTTCACCTTTAAATGAGAGCCGAATTGTATTTCTACCACATCCCTATTTTCTCCCAGTCTAGGCATTCAGTTCTTGTATGATCAGAGGCAAAGAAAGATGGGACTTCTATAAACCAGGTGGGGGCGTGTGTGCAGTGTAAACACACACACACACACACACACACACACACACACACACACCAGGCTACCATTGAAAAGTGGGGATTCCAAACAGGTATAGAAATAGGTCAAAGACCAGCTCTCGGTTGGAAAGCTGTCCATGTCATATTTGGGAATCAGGAGTGTAAGAGTGCTGCTGTGTTCATGTCCTGCTTGTGGACTTTCTGTAGGTGTCTGGTTGAGAGCAGAATGCTAGACTAGATAGGCCTTTCATGCGATCCAGTAGAACTTTCCTTATGCTTATAATAACCCCTTTCAGCATGCCATCCTAGAACATCCTGGCCCTTTCCTCCCTCTCAATGTTTCTTTGTACTGGTTCCAATCGACAGGTCTTTCCTGCGCTCCGAATAGCCACTACGAGCTCTGTGCGAGAGGCTGTGCTCAGACCTGCGGCAGCTTTTATGCTTCAGTCCCTTGTTCGGCTACGTGCCACGAAGACTGCGTGTGCGACGAGGGCTTTTTGCTGAGCGGCGATCAATGCGTGCCCACGTCCCGGTGCGGCTGTCACTACCAAGGCCACTACTACCCGGCAGGAGAGACTTTCTATCCAACCTGTCAGGAGCGTTGCATGTGCCACGCTGGGGGGAGTATTGGGTGTGTCTCATTCTCCTGTGGCCCCAATCAGGAATGCCGCTTGTCAGATGGCGTCCGGAAATGCTACCCTGTAGGCAATGCCACCTGTTCTGGTTCGGGTGACCCTCACTATCTCTCCTTCGATGGACGGGCCTTTGACTTCCAAGGCACCTGCACCTATACCTTGGCTACGGTTAACACAGGCAACCGGCTCTTGAGATCCTTTACTGTCAATGTGGAAAACGAGGCCTGGGGGAATGGAAAGGTGTCCGTTACCAAGATGGTTTCTCTCTCAGTCTACGGCATTACACTTACATTACTGCAGAACAAGCAAGGTCAAGTGATGGTGAGTCCAAACTATAAGGAAAGGGCAATTGGATGGCCATCTGTCAAGGATGCTTTAGTTAAGATTCCTGCATTGCAGGGGGTTGGACCAAATGACCCATAGGGTCCCTTGCAACTCTAAAATTCTGTGATTCTATGATTTTTAGCCATTCATCTTTTCTCTCTCTCATTAAGACATTGTCTTTGCTCAGTCGTTCAATTAGTCCTAAATGAATCTAAGAATTTATGTTTGGTTTCTCTTTTTTCTTCTTCAGCTTCCCCATATTTCCACATTTTTTTTAAAAAAAGAGAATCCTGAAAATTTGTCTACATTTTAGTGCAATATAAATTGCAAATTTATCCTAATCTAATGAGTTTTGCATGCAACTTTGCCTAATATACACATTGTGGCAAGTAATATTTCCTACTTCAGTGCATTCTTATATGTCAGGGGTTTACCTCGCCTGGGCCAGTTCACTCCAGCGGAGATCCCTCCGTGGGATGGAGTGTGCGCGCATGAGCGTGCACAGCCACGATTTCCTGCATCTGCATCTGTGCAGACACAATTTCTGGTGTCTGCATCTGTGCAGATGCGATTTCCAGCATCTGAGCATGCGCAGACGAGATTTCCGGCGCCTCAGAAGTGAGTCACCGCGCTAGGCTGCACCAGTTTAGCGCAACATGCGGGGACCAGCTGAGCAGACGGCTCGGTTTGGGGGCAGCTCGTGGGCTGGTTAAATGACCCCTGTGGGCCGCTTGTGGCCCATGGGCCTTAGGTTGCCTACCCTTGCTATATGTCATTTTCACTAATATATGCATTTTTATACAAACATTACTTTGCTACTGTATATGCAACTTTTGTACATGTTACTTGGCCAGAGACCTGCATTGCAAAATTCAGAAAATTTCAAGGATAGTGTTGTTTTGGTTCTCATATGGTTTCAGAAAATGTAAATTCACGTTTAAATGCAAACCGAATCAAGTTTGTCCCCCATTCCTACCTGGAGGTTGAGAAGGGTGACAGCAATGAAGGTGGAGTGAGGGCAGAGCTAGCATCCTCAAGCACACACACTCTTCCTCACATGCCCTTTTCAGCACACCTGTTTCAGGTTATCATCACTGAGAGGGCTAGGATAAAATATGTTCCTTCTAGGAGCTTTATGGTTATCTTTCCACTGCGACCTCAAAAAACCAACCCTTCTCAAACAGGAAATCCTTCTTGCAGGTGAATGGCTTGATCTACACCGTCCCTATATCCTTGTCTGCTGGGCGGATCAGAGCCTATCAACACGGCACAAAAATCCTGATAGAAACTGACTTTGGTCTCATTGTGAGCTACGACCTGGTTTACCGTGTGACAGTCACAGTCCCAAGTACTTACCAGAGTGAGATGCGAGGCCTCTGTGGGAACTACAACGGGCAGAAGGATGACGACTTCCTGCTACCCGATGGGAGCACAACTTCCAATGCAGGTGACTTTGGTGCTTCCTGGAAGGTTCCAGTCCATGGGGCAGCTGGATCTTGCTCAGATGGATGCTCTGGAAGCAGCTGCCCGGTCTGCGATGAAAGGAAGAAGGAGATCTTCAAACAGCGCCACTACTGCGGGATCCTCACTGCGTCTGATGGCCCCTTCAGGGCTTGCCATGGAAAGGTCGATGCCAACGTATACTTCAACGACTGCATCTATGACCTGTGCATGGGCAACGGGGACAGCCAGATCTTGTGCAACAGCATCCAGAGCTACGTATCTGCCTGCCAAGCAACTGGAGTCTCTGTCGAGCCTTGGAGGAGCCCTTGCTTCTGTCGTAAGTACTGGGGATTGAAAGTTCATGGGGACATGAAATGGGAGAAGAGAAATGGGAGCAGAATCTGAAGTGGTTCCATGTCACTTTGGGGCTAAACTAGAGGGGTGTGCTCATTTGCAAAGCCCTAAAATGTCTCAGGCTCCACAGAGACTGAATTCATTTGACCTTTTCAATTACACGCGATCACCCTCTTGACTACTTCTGACACACCAGTTACGAAATTGTTTGCAATGAGTTCCTGCCAGAGCCAGAAGTCTAAGGTAGAGGTGGGGAGCCATTTTTCAGTCCTGGGACCATGTTTCCTTCTTGGTAACCTTTTTGGGTCCATATGCCAATAGTGAGCAAAGCCAGAGCAAAAAATGGGTGGAGCAATTGATGTTATTTGTTATCTTTGTACAGTGGGCCAGTATCTATCCCCAATCTTTTATACCCCTCTCTATCCTCTATCCAGGAAATTAAGAAGCATGATCAGAGTTCAAAGATACATTCTAGCCAGGAAAAAGAACTAGTCCCTCTTTTGGATTTCACATGCTGTCTTTCACAACCATTTTAAGAAGCACCGGGGTTCTTTTGGTCTAATATCTTTTTTTCTTTTCCAATTTAGCTATGCGCTGCCCTGCCAACAGTCACTATGAGATCTGCGCCCAGCTCTGCCCCACCTCCTGTGCCAAGATCACAGACCCTGCACCCTGTCCGAAGACTTGTGCTGAGGGCTGCCAGTGTAATGATGGTTTCTTCTTTGATGGTGTTGGCTGTGTCCCTGCAAAAGACTGTGGGTGCATAAAGAATGGACGCTACTACAAGGTAGATGGTCTTCTGAACCTGATTTTCCTCTCCTCCTTTTAAAATGAAACTACTTTTTTTTTTTTTACTGTCCCCAATCATTATGGATCAAGTTGTTTTTATCTGCTTTTACCTCTGTGCTTGCTCAGTTTCACATTCTTTTCGAATCACAAGTCACAAGCTGTTGTGATAATTTCTAGGACTTAGGGAATTCCACAGCCTTTGAATAATTGAGTCAAGTTGTGTGTGTGTGTGTGTGTGTGTGTGTGTGTGTGTGTCTTGAGGTGTGGTTTTCTTTTGTAATCTGGAAGTAACAAAGTCCTAACAAATGAACTGCCCTTGTTATGAGGAGGTGCAGCAAATGGCAGAATAATGAATCTTTAAATGTAAGGATATGACAGAATTACTAACACCATGTTTATATATGGAACAGAAGAGCCAAGACCTAAAGCCTATCTAATCCAACATTCTGTTCTCAGTACAGAGGCTAATAATAATAATAATAATAATAATAATAATAATAACGTTATTATTTATACCCCACTCATCTGGCTGGGTTGCCCTAGCCACTCTGGGCAGCTTCCAACACACATAACTGTTTAAGGGGTGCTTGGAAGCAGGGCATGAGCTCAATAGTCCTCTTCCTTAGTTGCAGAGTGGCTTCCCTACCAGCCCTGGTGACTCGGCCAATTAATGGGTTTCTCCTTGAAATGTGATACCTGTTAATGCTTTCATGCCATCATTTGTTGCTTCAGAGCATTTAGAAGCTGAAATGTATTCGTAAATAATGTTATTGACTTCAGGTCCAGTTGCAACAGAGAACCACATTCAGAACTCTTGGTTGGATGCTATTTGCCACCTACACCTCCAGTGTAGATCTGATTCTGTCCTAATTCTGTTGTTGCTATATTTTATTGTTTTCCAAATTTCCCACCAGCCCAATGAGAAGGTTCTGCTGAATGCATGTCAGGAGATCTGCCACTGCATCCCAGGCCTGGGAGTGATTTGTGAGGCCCACAACTGCGCTGCTGATGAGATGTGCAAGATCCAAGATGGAGTCATGGGTTGCATTAATAAGGGTAAGGAGAGATTAATTAAAGAATGAGATGAGGAAACTGTGATCCTTCAAGGTGACTCATTGTCCCTGACCATTGACTAGGGCACAGAGGTGCTTGTAGTATGATTCCCTTTGTCTTTAATATGGCCCTGCTGCTCAAGTAGTGGCTTTTGAAAGATATGGATAGCTCAGTTGGTTAGAGCATGGTGCTTATAATGCCAAAGTTGCAGGTTCTATCCCCGTATGGGACAGCTGCATATTCCTGCATTGCAGGGGGTTGGACTAGATGATCATTATGGTCTCTTCCAACTCTACAATTCTATGATTCTATGACTTATCCACACTCACACATCTCTATCCTCTACCCAGACAATCAAGAAGCATTTTCAGAGTTCAGGGAGATATTCCAGCCTGATAAAACTGGGACAGGAAGCGAGGGTTATGTGTTACTCTTGCCTTTTGTACTGGCTACACACAATTAGATATTCACCCCGAACTGCATCTAGCAATCACTCACATTTCACCCCTTTCATTCCAGATCCATGTAAATCCCTGAAGTGCCGAGAAAAAGAAACATGCAGGATTGTGAATGGCCAGGCCAAATGCATCCCTAACTTCTCAGGAATTTGCTGGGCCTGGGGGGACCCACACTACCAAACCTTTGACAAAAAGAAGTTTGATTTCCAGGGCACTTGTTCTTACACTATTGCCAAGTACTGCGGGAATGATGCTACACTGGTGCCTTTCACTATCGATGAGAAGAACGACAACAGGGGCAACCAGGCTGTGTCCTACGTGCGTCTGACCAACATCTATGTCTATGGGTACAAGATCTCCATCCACAAACAGGAAACTGGAAGAATCCGGGTATGTTAGATTGCCAGGTGGTGGGATAACCTCCGTGAATGTGCTGGAATTCATTCCGATATATCGCCAGAGCCCAAAAGTTTAAAGTAGCATTAAAGAGTAAAGGGGGGGTCTATACATATGTCAGGATGGAGAAGAGAAACAAATGATTGCAAATCAGATTGCTATACCACTCTGAATGACTGAGGTAATGACCATCATGCTATTACGTAACTAAAAGGCCCTCATTATCAAGGAATCCTATCTCATTTTCTTTTTTTTCTTTTTTTGTATATAATTTTTGTTATATTTTCTGTTTTACAATTTAAAATACTCATTTTACATCCTTAAGCTATCATTGACTTCCCTCCTTCTCTTTCCATGGTTCATTTTACATATCATAAGTCCCTGCATACTTTACAAAAAACTATACCATTCAGTATTCCATTATTGCATCCAACAAAAAACTTATTTACACAGTTGAATTTATCTTAATGCTGCCAGCGTGCCCCATCTCATTTTCCTGAGCTTGTGTCACTGTGGTGAGGGGGTGAGACAGTGGCAGGGTTGGTGCAGTGCAAATGCATCAGCAGAATTGGCTCTGCTGGTGTGTTTGCCTCGCTACATCCTCGCTGGTGCCTTGCCTCTCCCCCTTTTGAAAAACCATAACAATGATGGTGATGGGAGCCACAACTCCTTAAGTGGTAACAACACAATTCCTAGCCATGTCTGCTGAGATACAAGTCCGATTGAATCCAGTGGGACTTGCTGCCAAGTAAGTGGGGTTGTAAGGCTAGGATCAACCTGGCTGTACCTGTTTCCTGCAGCTGTGACTACATGGGATTGTGTGGCACAATCTCCAAAAAGCCTAAGAAAATCAAAGGAGTTATCCCTGTATGTGTGTTGTCTTGCCTTTCTGCCTCTAGCTGAACGACAACATTGTCAGCCTGCCACTGACTCTTGAATATGGCAAGATCAGGCTGTACCAGAGTGGCACCAATGCTGTCCTGCAAACAGATTTCGGCCTCCAAGTGACGTACGATTGGAAATGGCACCTGGTGATCACTCTCCCCAGCAGTTACTATGGGACCATCTGTGGGCTGTGTGGAAACTTCAACCAAAACCCTGCAGACGACATGGTCTTTCCCAATGGCACCAAGGCTGCCTCCATCATAAGCTGGGCCAGCAGCTGGAAAGTCAAGGACCGGGACCCCTTTTGCTGGGATTATTGCCGAGGGAATTGCCCAACATGTGATGAGAGCAAGAGGGCGCTGTATGGAAAGGAAGAGTACTGTGGGCTGATCAGCAAAACCTCAGGGGGCCCCTTCAGAGAATGCCATTCCATAGTGAATCCAGATGACTTCTTTGACAGCTGCATTTATGACGTGTGTCTCAATGGAGGAGCCAAGAACATCCTTTGCCAGGCCTTGGAGGCCTATGCTAAAACCTGTAGGAAAGAGGGTGCCACCATATACGATTGGAGGACAGCCTCTGGCTGTGGTGAGTACTTTCCCTTTATACACACAATGTATGTAATGACAACTATGGCTTAGAGTAGCAGTGATTATTAACGGTCCACAGGCCTTCAACTTCCAACCCTGCACAAATATCTGACGCCACACAAAGAGGCAGGGAAAGAAAGCCACAGTGCACAAGATAGCCGCTAAGTGCATGCTTTTTCATTGCTAAAAGCATAAACAAGAGGAAAACCTCGAATGAGATGCCCTCTTTGCTTTGTAAATCAGTTTGTGGTTGAGAATAGCTGTATCTGAAGCAAACAAATCCATGAACTACATCACTCCTCTAGCAGCAGAGCTTCGTGAATCTCTTTGGCTATTGGAATGAATAGAAGCATGGCTGGACCAAGACATTTTGCTACCTGAGTCATAAGAACACAAGGTCTAGCATCCTGTTTTCGCAGCAGCCAATCAGATGCCCATAGAAAATTCACAAGCAGCCCATGAATACAACAGCACTCTCCCTACTTCAGAGTCCCAGCAAAGGGTATTCAGAGGCATTCTGTCTCCCACAGTGAAGGTAGAACATAGCAACCTATTCGCCATGAATTTGTTTAATCCTATTATTGTTTAATCCATCTGACCGTGTGGCTGCTGGACCTTATGTTACCCTGGGAAAAGGATAGTATCTTTCATGTAAGTGCACTTTTAAACTCCCAGTGTTCCTGCTTCCACATACAATATCAGCAACAAGAGCTCTTGCGAAGTTGAGACTTCAGCACATTTTATCAGTTCTTAAATTCCTGATGTTCTCCTCCTTACAGCCTTGCCGTGCCCTCAGAATAGCCACTATGAGTTCTGTGGCAATGCCTGCCCTGCCAGCTGCTCTGACCGCACGGCTCCCTCTTTCTGCACGCAGCCATGCGTGGAAACCTGCCAGTGCAACGATGGCTACGTCCTCAGTGTCGACAAGTGTGTGCCTGTTGGGAGCTGTGGCTGCACCTACAATGGGCTCTACTACAAACCCGGAGAGGAATTCTGGGCTGATGAGACCTGTGGTTTCCGCTGCACATGTGATCCCACCCTGGGCTTTGCGGTGTGCAAGCCAGCTGGCTGCAAAGCCAGTGAGCAGTGCACCGTGGTCAATGGAGTCCGGGGCTGTTATCCCATAAGCACCGCTACTTGCTCAGCAACTGGGGACCCTCACTATATGACTTTTGATGGGAAGAAATATGACTTCATGGGCACCTGTGTCTACCAGCTGGTTGGGCTCTGCTCTAAGGACCCGACTCTCAGGCCTTTCACTGTCAATGTAGAGAACAACAACCGAGGCAACCCAAAAGTGTCTTACACCAAAGTGGTGACATTGAAGGTCTATGATGTAACCGTGATTATGAGTCAGGAGCATCCACGCAGGATCCAGGTATTGACACAGGAAATTGATGTATGTATGTATGTATGTGGAGGTTTTTTGCGTCCTTTCAGGACCCCTTGGGAGGGTGGCTGAGGCTCTTGGAATAGTTTCTGTATCTTTGCACATTGTAGCCTTAACTACCTGGGCTCTTCTTATGCAGAGTATAGGCTATGTAACATAGAGATGTTGCACAGCTACAATCACAATTCATTGTGGATTATATGCAGCTGGTGGCCCACTGAGGGCTGTCAATTGCAGCTCCTGAAGATGGAATTAGGCAAAGGTGGTTTGTAGTCAGTGAGAGCAGGATCCCCAGCTGCTCAGCAACAGTGAGTTAACCTGCTTTTACTCTGAAAGAGTGCTTTAACAGTCAATCCTTCTTCACAGAGAACTCTGAGTATAGCGGTTCCCCAACAACTTTCAGCACACTTTGCAAACTCTGGCTTCCAGGATCCTATTGGAGAAGCCACAATTGTTTAATGTGCTATCATACTGCTTGAAATGCATGGTGTGAATGTAGCCTTCCATTAGATATGGCTTTACGGTAACAATTCCTGTTGCATCACATTTCAGGTCAATGGCGTCTTTGTGAACCTGCCTTTCTACCATGAAGACAAGATAAAAGCTTACATCAGTGGAAATGAGGGCGTCATCAAGACTGATTTTGGCCTGACGGTAGCCTTTGACTGGAACACCAATGCCAAAGTCACTGTACCCAGTACGTACGCCAATGCCGTTTGTGGCCTCTGTGGCAACAACAACTTGAACCCCAATGATGACTTGACCATGAAGGATGGGAGTCATGCATCCAGCATCTCCCAATTTGCAGAGAGCTGGAAAGTTGGAGAGGCCCCTGGGTGCACACCGGGTTGCACCACCGATTGCCCGCCATGTGGAGATGCGCAGAAAGAAACCTACAAGGGCGACCAGTACTGTGGCATCCTCATCAAAAAGGATGGGCCATTCTGGAGATGCCATGATGTCCTTGACCCAACACCCTACTTCACAGATTGCGTCTTTGACACCTGCCAGTATCATGGTCAGCATAAAATTATGTGTGATGCCATCAGCGTCTACGTGGCAGCATGTCAGGCTCTGGATGTTGAGATTGAAGAATGGAGATCAAACTCTTTCTGCAGTAAGTGCTTCCTCTCGAAGCTTCCATAAGTCACGTCATCTGTTGTTGACACTGACTGGCATTGGTTCTCCAGGATCTCAGTCAGGGACTTTTCCCAGTCATACCTGGGGCTGCTGGGGGTTGAACCAGCTATTATTTGCATGAAAAGCACATGATCCACCACTGAGCTGCACTCCCTCCCCTAGTTCAACTTTAGGGATGTGCATGAGTTGAAGGGAAGTGCTGCATAAACTTGACATTCATCAAATTTTGAAATGTGAAGTTTGCAATTAGATTCTTTTCTCCCTAAATGTTTTTCAGCATTCATCAGAGTTTTTGAATAGGTACCAGATCGTTGTATAAAGGCAAATAGTAACAGGGCTCCTCTCTCTTCCTCAGCAGAGACAAGGTCTTAACTCTTATGGTCTGTTATTCAATGTTAGTCATGCTCAAAGTACACCGGTTGAAATGAATGAACATGACTAACTTAGCTTTATTAATTTCAACGGCTCTATAATGAGTAAAACTTAGTTGGATACAGCCCATAATGCTTAAGATTTTTATTTTTAAAAAAATACCCTTGGATTTTGAAAGACCAGTTGGAATCTTTTTGTTTAAGCCTCTTGACTTGTCAGCAACATCTATGACTTGATACATACAGGTCACATCAGAGCTAAGATTCCCCTAAAAAAATCAGTCGGAATCCAATCTGCATATAGCAATTTTGACATTAGATGTGAAGCATTTTGCATTTACTGATCTCCACATTCAGATTGAACATTTAAGTGTCAAATTCATTTCAACCTTGATAATTCAAGTAGCGGGGTTTCACATCTATCCAATTTTAACTGTTGATCCTGGAGAGGGGCAAGGAAGCAGTATCATTCTTAGTCTGAACCATCCAGGCATTTAAAATGCTGTAACATCTCTTAACAGGCTTCGTTTTGAATTTATTCAGCAATTTCAAGTGCTGCAGGGCAAAGCGATATGATGATGATGATCAATGAGATACTTCTATATTCTCAAACTGTTCCATTAATGGATTTAAATATGAATTCAGATGACAGCCTTCACTAAAAACTAACCAGTAGATGGCACTGCATAAATAGAACAGGCAAAAGAGTCCAGCAGACCTCTTCCTGTCCATGTCTCTGAAACAACCTCTGTCCTAGCTTGAAATTCTCCACAGTCTGTTTTTGTCCTTTCTTCCAGGCCCTGCCTGCTCACCCAACTCTTACTACGAGCTCTGCGGAAACGGCTGCCCTGCCACTTGTCGTGGTCTCTCGGCTCCTGATTGCTGTGAGATGTCCTGCAAAGAAGGATGCTATTGCAACCCAGGGTTTATCTTGAGTGGGGACCAATGTGTCTCCATTGGCGATTGTGGCTGTGAGCACCAGGGCAACTACTACAAGAAGGGAGAGGTTTTCTACCCAGGTTCCTCTTGCCAGAAACGATGCCAATGTGCAGACAATGGAGTTGTCCAATGCGTGGACTTCTCCTGTGGGCCCCATGAGGAATGTAGGGTAAAGGACGGTGTCCACGGCTGTCATCCTGTAGGCTCTGGTACATGCAGTTTGGCCGCAGGCTCCCACTACCTAACTTTTGATGGACGGGCCTACGACTTCCAAGGAACCTGCACTTATACTTTAGCTAAAGTTGTCAGTGTGGGTTCTCAGCTGGCAAACTTCTCAGTGGTGGTGGAGAATGAAAAGTCTTTTACCAAGATGGTTGTGGTCTCTTGTCATGGATATACCGTTGTCATTGAGAGGGCAATAAAGTGGAAAGTCAAGGTAAGTTCTGTTCTGGGTTTAGCCTCTTTGAATTAGAAATGCCAGCAAAGTTCACTAGCATTTTCTACAATTGCAGGAGTCCCTGGGAGAACGTCGTCTCCCAATGTCCACTGCACCCCATCTTACAATCTGGGTTTGTCTCAGTTTCTCATTTTTTCCAATATTAAATTCAATTCTCCATTTTTTTCTGCAGCAACCTGTTATATAAATGCTTTAAACAATAAACCATGATTTTGAAATAAAAACATGCAAGTGATAAACGCTGTTTACCTTCCCGCTGGAGTGGTACCTATTTATCTACTTGCACTTCGACATGCTTTCAAACTGCTAGGTTGGCAGGAGCAGGGACCGAGCAACGGGAGCTCACCCCGTTGTGGGGATTCGAACTGCCGACCTTCTGATCGGCAAGCCCTTTAGGTCTTTAGTGACTAACAAATTACGATTTGCCCTGTAGTAACGGTATTGTGTGGTCTGGCTCTGAGATACTAGTTGTGCTGGTATTTATCATACGTTTTATGCTTGCTTTTGTCTTTTTGAAGGAAATTGATATTTAAAATGGTTTTAATATTATATCTACAGTGTATATCCTAATACATTTCTATCTTCTATGCAAAAAAAGCCTGTGGATTTGTTGCCCTAAGGAGACAGGGTGCTTGAATCCACTTGAATGGCACAAACCTAAATTTCTGCTGTGTGTTTGAATCCTTTCAGAATAGTGGGAGTCTAGAAGAGGAACCCTTAATTTGTAAACTGCTTCGGAAGGCATTCTGTTGTTGTTGTTGTTGTTGTTGTTATTATTATTATTATTATTATTATTATTATTATTATTATTATTATTATGCTGCCCTATACACACAGGTCTCAGGGCGGTTCACAGAATAAAATCAGAATATAAAACCATAAAATACATTCTTTGCCTGAAAAGTGGTATCCAAATCCATTAAATTCTACAATTTTAAACTGTGTCCATGGTCACCTTCTCTGTGGTTAATGCAGGTGAATGGAGAGCTCTACACTCTGCCCATGAAGACAAAGGATGGGAAACTCTGGGCCAACCAGGAAGGCAACAATATCATTGTCCAGTCCAACTTGGGTCTCCAAGTCCTTTTTGACACCTCCTCTTATGTCCTGGTGTCTGTCCCCAGTAACTATCAGGGACTTGTCAATGGCCTATGTGGCAATTTCAATAAGGACAAGACTGATGACTTTACTCTACCCACGGGGGAAAGAACCCAGAATGTGATCGAGTTTGGGGCCTCTTGGAAGGTTCCCATTGATGGTATCAGATGCTCTGATGGTTGTGGAGATAAATGCCCCGTCTGTGATGCAGCCAAGACAGCGCCGTACCGACCGGAGAGTTCCTGCGGAATGATCCAAGCCCAATCCGGCCCCTTCAAGAGCTGTCACTCCGTGGTGGACCCTGCTGAATACTTCAACCACTGTCTGTATGACATGTGTGCAGCCAATGGTGCCGGAGAAACTCTCTGTAGGAGCATCCAGGCTTACGTAGCTGCATGTCAGGCTGCAGGAGTTACAATTGGAGCCTGGAGAACAAACAACTTCTGCCGTAAGTTTGCAAAGCTTGCAGTTATTGTTATTTATTGTTATTTATTAAATTTCTATGCTACCCTTCAGCCGAGGATCACAGGGTGGTTTACAATATAAAAACACAAGAATATGTAACATAGTAACTAATAACGACAATACCGCCCCACACAGTTTAAAAGGCTCTCTTTCCCATCCATCCATCCATCCATCCATCCATCCATCCATCCATCCATCCATCCTGTTATATTGGCCAACAGATACTTCAATGGTATCTGTATTTGGATCCCATAGAAAATAAGCTATTTCTTTAAAATTAAATAATTAAAAAGCTAATTTCTTCAGCCTCTGTTTGTGAAGATGTGTTGCCTATAGAATATGGTTTCACCTTCAGCATTTAGATCAGGGTGGAGAACCTCCAGCCCGCAGGTCAAATTAGGTCCACCAACACCCTTCCCATTTGGCCCGTGAGGCCATTTTGGTCAAGCTACCTTTGCCTACCCTACATATACAAAATCAGGTGTGGGGCAGGCATAGGTGGGGCTTCCGCAGGTATGGGTGGGCAGGTTTCCACAAATTTTAAAAATGGTGTTTTATTGAACTTCTATTTTATTTTGCCCTTATCATACACCCCAATGAATATAGGTGATCTCTCCCCTGCCCCCTAACTTAAGAATGCTTAGCTAATGCTCCGTATGTGTCTGGACCATCACTGCCTCCTTTCATCACTTGTCTCCTCTCCCTTCCTTTTCAGCTCTCACTTGCCCATCCAACAGCCACTACGAGTTGTGTACAAAGACCTGTGATTTCACTTGCACCAGCTTATCCACTCCAGGCCGGTGCACAAAACAATGCTTTGAAGGTTGCCAGTGTGATTATGGCTACCTGTTTGACGGTGACAGGTGTGTGGCAGTGGGGAACTGTGGCTGTTCCCATGATGGGCGCTACATAAAGGTAAGTACACTTAAAGTGGTGGTGTCCATGAATAACACTCTAAGCAAACCAAAAGAGCTCGTTTGTCTAACCTCCTTAGGATGGCCGCTCATACATTGGCCACCAGAAAAAGAAGACACGTCTGTGGCACCTTCTCATGCTCACCCTAGGGTCACATAGAGTAGACGAGGAGAAAGGGTTGCTGAGAAAGGCCAAGCCTGCAGAGTGATGGAGAGAGAATGAGACAAGTTGGGGAGAACCTCTGGACCAGCAAAGCTGATGGAGCAGAGCAGGAAGGGACATAGTGAAACAAGTGCAATATATGAAGAGAGAACATAGCATAGTCGGGGTTGAAATTGATTTAATGCTAATTTAAGTAAATGTGACCTCTTTTAGTATCTATTTTATTATCTGTTTATCATTTATGTAGCATTGGCATAGCCTCGTGGATATAGTTGTATAGTTGTATGTTGTTGTTTAGTCATTTTGTTGTGTCTGACTCTTCGTGACCCCATGGACCAGAGCACGCCAGGCACTCCTGTCTTCCACTGCCTCCCGCAGTTTGGTCAAACTCATGCTGGTAGCTTCGAGAACACTGTCCAACCATCTCGTCCTCTGTTGTCCCCTTCTCCTTGTGCCCTCAATCTTTCCCAACATCAGTGTCTTCTCTAGGGAGTCTTCTCTTCTCATGAGGTGGCCAAAGTATTGGAGCCTCAGCTTCACAATCTGTCCTTCCAGTGAGCACTCAGGGCTGATTTCCTTCAGAATGGATAGGTCTGATCTTCTTGCAGTCCATGGGACCCTCAAGAGTCTCCTCCAGCACCATAATTCAAAAGCATCAATTCTTCAGCGATTAGCCTTCTTTATGGTCCAGCTCTCACTTCCATACTCACTACTGGGAAAACCATAGCTTTAACTATACAGACCTTTGTCGGCAAGGTAGATTAGTTGTATAGCTGCATGTTTTAAGTACTTTGGGTCCGTAAATATACATTTTGAATGTTTTCTTGCAAATGGAATTCTAGTAGCAATAATATATGATTGTGCATTTTAATTATTAATTTAACCACACTTTTCTTATCTCCCTCTCCCTTTTGTGTATTATAAATCTTCCAGGCTGGCGAGACTATTGTTTTTGAAGGTTGTTCAACCAGCTGCACTTGTCGCCCAACCGGCCAACTGGTCTGTGAGGGAACTAGCTGCCAGTTAGGAGAGATTTGTCGCCTCCACAATGGTGTGCGTGGTTGCAGGGGGCAGGAAGGCGAGTGCATCATCGTCCCTGGAGCACGGTTGACCTCCTTTGATGGCGTCTCTGGAGGAATCCTTTATGAAGGAGCTTACGAGGTGGCTTCCCTTTGCAATGAAAATGACCTCTTTTGGTTCAGGATCATAGCAGTGGTCAAGAAATGCAACGAAATGGATTTGCCATCAGTGTCGATAATACACGTATTTTTCCAAAGGATGCTTATCACTGTAAAAACAAACAAGGAGGCATGGGTAAGTTCCGAAGGCAGGCTCTGGGGTCATCTCCTGTGTAGGTCATACATAATAAACATTACTGACTTCAGCCCATTGATTTCAGTGGGCCTGCTCAGAGAAGATGCTAGTTGGAGACAATCCATTATTTAATTGTTTGTTCATTTTCTGCATTTATGTAGTGAAATTTCATTAAAATTCTCTAGGTAGCTTACAATATAGAGGTAAAGAAAACAAATTAAAAAAAAACATAACACCAATAACTAACGTAAGATAGCAAAAACCCAAAAGTAAGCCTAAATCACCTTCCATTGTAATTACCTCACCCATGGTCTCTCCTGGCTATGGAGGCTGCAATACTGCTCCTTGTCAAGGGTGCAAGGGAGCCTACAATAGGTATGCCTCTGGCCCTGGTCTAAAACAGAAGTGGAAAATCTGATCTGGGGCCCGGAGACAATATATCATCCAGGCCTCTTGGTATGGCCCTTAGTACTCGCTCCAGGCTACTCCCATAGCCATCCTCCCATAGCCCTCACTGGTCTGCTCCATTCCATTCCCATTAGTGCTTTTGCTTGGTTGGAATGTGCCTCTGAGCTGTGATTCTACCTCTTGCTCACCTGGGCGAAGGTTTGCATGTTTAAAAGGCTTACTTTTGTGTGGCTACGATGTATCCTACCGTACAAAGGTAAGAATTGCATGCATTGATCTGCCCACTTTATTCCTATGGCACTGGCTGCCATGTAGCTCCCAGGAAGCTGCCATGAAAGAATATGGCTCTAGAAAAGCATTCCTCGCTCTAAAGGATTATGAATAATGGACAATATGAGGACAGAAAGAGGGGCGGTGGTTCCGGGCCCAGCTATCGAGAAGTAGACGGTGGCGGAACAAACCAAAGTTGTACAGCAGTAAAAGCAAAGACTGAAAAGGGTACAGTGATACCTCGGGTTAAGTACTTAATTCGTTCTGGAGGTCTGTTCTTAACCTGAAACTGTTCTTAACCTGAAGCACCACCTTAGCTAATGGGGCCTCCCGCTGTCGCTGCGCTGCTGCTGCACGATTTTTGTTCGTATCCTGAAGCAAAGTTCTTAACCCGAGGTACTCTTTCTGGGTTAGCGGAGTCTTTAATCTGAAGCCTCTGTAACCTGAAGTGTATGTAACCCAAGCTACCACTGTACTGTGTTCTGTGGAGGAAAATTGTCCCTGGGGGGTTCAAGTATGGAGGCTCACACTAAATTCCCAAATTGGTCAGACTTTAATCTGTTGCAGGAAAGAAAAAAGACCAGATAAGAAAATAGGCCGTGCTCTTGGATTGGTGCTCTAGTCCACCAAACACACACACACACACACACACACACACAAACACACACACAGGCTTGCCTTTCATGTTGTTTGTGCCCAGTGTGTGATAATCAGTTACATAGCTTCTGAATTTGGAGTAGTTTTGGATATGATGAATCAGTAGGAATATGCAAGCTGTCTCTGCATACTCATTCCTCTTGACCAAGGGTGGGGAATCTCAAGTCCAGGAGCCAAATGCAGTCCTCCAGGCCTCTCCCTTTGGCCCTTGGGACTTTCCCTAGGGCACACCTCTTACCAGCCCTGCTCCATATCTCGTCACATGCTTTTGCCTGACTGGGATATTTTATTGAACTGTGATGTTTTTGCTTGCCTGGATGGATGGAGGGTGAAATGCTGTCTGTCCATGCCTGTGCAGAAACCTTTGGGTTTTGTGAGGCTGGAAGGTCACCTACTATACAACAGTAACAGTCCACCCATTACTCCATCCACTTTGGCTTCTGGTCTCACCCACCATTGGCATGTGGACCCCAGAAAGTTGTCCATCAGGGAATGCAGCCCTCAAACTGAAAAAGGGTCCCTCCCTTACTCTAACCATTAACGCAACACCTTTCACCCTCCTTTTCTGAATTTCAGGTCAATGGGCACCAAGTGACACTCCCGGCAATGGTATCTGCAGGTGTCTCCATAAGCCTCTCTCAGGATGGCGTCGTGATTAATTTGGCCTCTGATGTAAAAGTTCTCCTCAGAGCCTGCGGGGAAATGACAGTGGAAGTCAGCGAAAGCCTGGAAGGAAAACTCTGTGCCTCCTGTGGCAACTTCAATGGAAATGGTATTGATGACCTGAAGCTGCCCAATGGGAACGTAGCAGGAAATATTGCTGAGGTCATTGATGCCTGGAAGGCCAAGGACTTCACTAGCTGGTGAGTGGCTCTGGGGGAGGTTTTTGCCTAAAGAGGATAAAAAAAGAAGTACTTTACTGTTCGATCCTCTTAGGGACTGAGGAGTTGTTCAAGGAGTCCACATCATGGACTAAACATAGTCTGCTCTGAAGCCCCCAGTCCATATTGCAAGTTGGAACATGGCCTGCCCTGGAACCTGTCTCCCAGACAAATCTCCTGAAGTGGTCTGCTACTTGTCTCTTTGTTCTGAGCTGCATCTAACATAAGACATTTCCAAAGTAGACTCACTGAAATTAGGACATTACTCCATCCAGCTCCGAGGGCCTTCTGGTGGTTCCCTCACTGTGAGGGAACCAGACAGAGGGCCTTCTTGGTAGTGGCGCCCACCCTGTGGAACGCCCTCCCATCAGATGCAGATGTCAAGGAAATAAACAACTATCTGACTTCTAGAAGACATCTGAAGGCAGCCCTGTTTAGGGAAGTTTTTAATGTTTGATGTTTTATTGTGTTTTAAATATTCTGTTGGGAGCCGCCCAGAGTTGCTGGGGAAACCCAGCCAGATGGGTGGGGTATAAATAATACACCATTATTATTATTATTATTATTATTATTATTATTATTATTATTATCATCATCATCATCATCATCATCTTACGGCCATTAATTCCAATAATTATACTCTGGCTAGTATTTAGTTGGCTACAACCCAATGTTTCACTAACGGGTCCCAGGGCAGAAATACAGCAATAAAACAACAGCAAACTGTTTAAGCAATACTCATATATATGAAAACACTCTTAAAATTTAAGATCAACTAGCAACAGAGAAACAACTTCTATCTGAGTGGCTTGTGACAGTTTTGAGTTCTCAGCTCCTCCCAGAGGCCAGGCTGAAGAGTTGCATCTTCACCGACTGATGAAAAGTCAGCAGCGTCAGAGCTGTGGGGAAATCTACACATGATATGGGGGAGGGATCTGTGTGCTCCATCAGCACATGGGGGAAGCCATCTCACCACCACCACAACCAATACGAAGTCCCTTGGGGCAGGATGTCATTGGTCGGTCATGATGCACTTCCCAAGGGGAAGTTGCCCTAGCCTATTCATAGACACACATTAATTGCTGTCCTTGCTAGGTGTTTCAAACTACTAGGAATATTATTTTTAAAGGAAGAAAAATGTAAAACAATGCCCAGGCCAGGAGGACAAGGCAGTTCATGCCACAAGTTTTTCCTTCAGACAGCTGGCTGGCAGGCCGTCAGTTGTTCCCTATAGACAGCAACTAGCATCTGGCAGCAGTCAGCAGATTGTAAAACCAGAAGGTTGAGTTACATTCAGAGAGCAAAATACCCATAAACTGAGCCATTACTATTCAATAAAATTCTACAGTTGCATGGGAAGTATTGGGAAGTTTCTCCCTGATACATAAACAAGATCATATTGACTTCTTCAAAATTTTCTATTCCAGTGATGTCTGATCCAAAGGGAGCGACTCCCCCTGCTGCTTAACTGTTGGCGTCAACTATTTGCATCTGAGCTTGGAGCAAAACTGTTCTGCATAGAGTATTCCCTGGTTTCACATCTTCGTGTTTTCCAACCTGCTATCTGATTGCCAAACAAAATGATGACGCTTTTTCCTGAGAATCAATAAATCCTCTCTTTTTTTGGAAAGCTTTTCTACACTGACTTCACTTTGTCAGCATGATTTTAATTCTGTAGATATGCAAATAAATAGGATGGGTGGTGGGAAACTCTGATGGCTATGTTCAAGCAAGGAGGCAAGGAAGCCATCTTCTTCAGCCTCCAGATGTTTGACAACAATTCTCATCATCCCTGACCAATGGCTAAGAGGGTTGGGGACAATGGGAGTTATAGCCCAACAACATCTGGGAACCTAGACAAACAATGTTCGAGAGGCAAAAGGTGTTGAATTTTGAACAAGACTCCAGTCAGTGCTCAGTCCCTCATATTCCTTGGGAGTGGGTAGGTGTTAACAGAGAAATCTGAGGGCTCCCTTGGACAAAAAACAAGGACACCAGCCAGGAATACCAGAGCAAAACAGCAGCCAGTAGGCTTGGTCTTTATTGAAGACTGTCGCGACAGGACTCCCACCTGCCACAAGGTGGAACAAGATGGAAACCCCGAACAAAAGAGAACCCAAACTTTTATTAGCTGGTAATCCCCATGTTACACCACCCCAACTACATCACTAATACAGTGGTACCTCGGGTTACATACACTTCAGGTTACATACGCTTCAGGTTATAGACTCTACTAACCCAGAAATAGTACCTCGGGTTAAGAACCTTGCTTCAGGATGAGAACAGAAATCGCGCAGCGGCAGTGGGAGGCCCCATTAGCTAAAGTAGTGCTTCAGGTTAAGAAGAGTTTCAGGTTAAGAACGGACCTCCGGAATGAATTAAGTACGTAACCAGAGGTACCACTGTACATCATGGTTACATCATGAAAGCAGAGGTCTGGTGGCAGTAATCTGAGCATCCTGGACCTTGTCCCATGGTTCCCCTTGCCCTCCACCAAACACCCATCAAGTGTAACAAAAGAGATATTTACATTTCCCTGTTTCCCAGCCAAGTTAATCACACCCTTTTGTCTCCATCTGGGTTTGTTATTTCTGGAATGGCTACCTGTCTGGCACTCAGGTATCAGGATGCCAGGGATTATCACTCAGGCAGAGGGGCTGCTAACTAGCTGAGCTCACATGTCTATGTGAATTTCTGAAGTTTTCCCAGTGAGCCAGTACATAGATACATTCATCAGTGAATTGTTACATTTGATATTGTGCAGCAGAGGCCCTTTGAATAGATAGGAAGAAACTGTGATGAAGTGTTTTGTGGGGACAAATCACAAAAGTCACAAAAGTGATTTTGTGGTGATTTTGGTAGTGGGCTGCATGTGCATGATATCTGCTGGAGGGGCAACCCCCCCAACCCTATACCCCCAGTGGGGTGGGGGACAAAGGGCAGTGTGTGTGTGTGTGTTAAATTCAGTTCACATTTAAAGGTGAATCTACCTAACTCATACATCCTGAATCAAAATGCAAGCTAAAACTTCCATCAAAATTTCCACTTCTCCAAATTTTGCAGGGCAGTTCTCAAACCAAGTAAAAGGTACAAAATGGCATATCAGTGTGCATTAAAATGCATATCCTTGCCAAAAAGCATATATTGCTTACAAAATGTGTATATTAGGAGAAATTCACACTGAAATAGCGATGAACTTTCATGATTAAAAAAAAAAAAGCAAACAAGATGGAATGTAGAGAACTGAAGATAGATTGCAAACATGAGAAAGGGAGAGAAATAGAAAAGGAGAGTTGCTCATCCCTCTCTGATATGTAGGATTTGCATGGCTTCCTGGGCAGACTTGGTGGCAAATGCAAGTTTGGGATAGGCTTTAGGCCAGGCTTCCTCAGACTCGGCCCTCCAGATGTTTTGAGACTACAGTTCCCATCATCCCTGACCACTGGTTCTGCTAGCTAGAGATCATGGGAGTTGTAGGCCAAAAACATCTGGAGTGTTGAGTCTGAGGAAGCCTGCTTTAGGCTCTGCCTTCTAAACAACATCACCCGAGTTGCTCTGGATTTGAAATTTTTCATATCTGAATCGATTTCCGTTTCTGCAAAATGAGTTCTGCCCTATTTTACAAGGCTACTGTCAACATCCCTTAAAAACCCACCATAAAAACAAAGTGCCTTCCATATAGACATAATTTATTTGCACAAATACTTGTACAAATATTTGCATGATGGTTGAAGATTGAATCCTGGGCTGGGCGTAGGGGTGGAGTCTCAAAATATCCGTTTCAGTAATCAAGCTGGTGGTAACTCTTATTCCCTTGTTATTGCCTTTTAACTGAGAGAAAAATACAAGGAACTACTAGCTCTCAGACTATGATTTAACCTTGAAAGTCCATTCTTCTCCCACAGGGGAGCAGGACTGAACACTATCATCCTAGATATTTTGTCTGTACCTTGTTGTTGTTGTTTAGTCGTTTAGTCATGTCCAACTCTTCGTGACCCCATGGACCAGAGCACGCCAGGCACTCCTGTCTTCCACTGCCTCCCACAATTTGGTCAAACTCATGCTGGTAGCTTTGAGAACACTGTCCAACCATCTCGTCCTCTGTCGTTCCCCTTCTCCTTGTGCCCTCCATCTTTCCCAACATCAGGATCTTTTCCAGGGAGTCTTCTCTTCTGATGAGGTGGCCAAAGTATTGGAGCCTTAGCTTGAGGATCTGTCCTCCCAGTGAGCGCTCAGGGCTGATTTCCTTCAGAATGGGTAGTTTTAATCTTCTTGCAGTCCATGGGACTCTCAAGAGTCTCCTCCAGCACCATAATTCAAAAGCATCAATTCTTCAGCGATCAGCCTTCTTTATGGTCCAGCTCTCATTTCCATACATGTCAAAAGGATAAAGGTGCTGTGCCATTTGTTCCACTTGGCAAGGGGTGGGAAACAGACCCAGAGGAAGAATGTTTCTTTCTTTAGCCCTTAGGACTCTTCTCAGTATTTTGTTCCATATGTTAGCAAAGCCACTTACTTAAAGCAGATAGAGTCCAAAGATAAATCCTGGTAACACCTTACTGAACAAACTGGACAAAATATATAATTTGAGGAGAAAGGTACATAAAGGATTTCTCTTTTAGGACAGGTTTCATACACAACAAGGGTAGATTCAACTTACTACTCACATGAAAGTTCCCTCAGGGCTACACAGCCACTCAAAGAAAATGCTATTTCACTAATTGGGACTTATTTGAGTTGATTTGGGATTCTGTCAAATTGGGTTGAAGTACACAAGTCCATCTGGGTCAAAATGGGGGGGGGGTGGACCCCAAAAGGAAGGGCAGTATGGTGGTGAGGAGAGTGGGTGAAATACCTCCTGAAACTCAGTAATGACGGTTAAAGGATCAGCTTATCAGAGAGCAGGTGGGGAACCACCACAGAAAAGGCCCTGTCACAAGTCAATGCCAATCAGGCAGACCCTAGTGGTGGCATGATCAAGAAGACCTCTCCTACCAACTGTAGGGTTTGAGAGCCTACGCCCTACTCTTCTATAATAATAGTGCCCAAAAGCCCATTCCACACCTCCTCCTTCCCTCCCCCCTCCCCGCTTCCACCCCAGATCCTGGTAATAGCAGCTCTCTGTATCTCTCCCACTTGCTCCCTCTGATGCAGGTGCAGAATGCCTTTTATTGATTTTTGCCATCCACCCCAAGACTGTAGCTGAGTCCCTCAACAGGAGAGCTCTGTAACTTGTGACCACCCATAAAGTATCCTGCATATGCACACTGTCTACATGTAATTCTGCAGAAGCCCAACATTTTTCCTTAAAATGAATTCCTTCCAATGAAATCATTGTGTGGGCTTTTATTTCAGAGTCAGTGAAGGATGTGCTGTTAAGCGTTTAACAGCTGGTTGATTGCTGGTTCCTGGGAAAGCATTGCTGCCTTTTGTGAGGCTGATAAACCTTACTTTCCCTTTCCCCGCACCCAGCAATCCAAACAAAGATTTCTGTTTTTGACTATGTATTTGAGCCTGTGCCAGATCAGCTAAAATTGTGTTTGCTGAAAGGGGCTGGGAATAGAGCAGGGGTCAGCAAAGGTTTCCACTGTCCCTCAGACCTTGTGGGGGGCCGGACTATATTTTTGGGGGGAAATGAACGAATTCCTATGCCCCACAAATAACCCAGAGATGCATTTTAAATAAAAGCACACATTCTACTCATGTAAAAACATGCTGATTCCCGGACTGTCCACGGGCCGGATTGAGAAGGCGATTGGGCCGGATCCAGTCCCTGGACCTTAGTTTGACTACCCATGGAATAGAGAGCTGCTGGGCCTGGGAGTTGGTGGAGAAATTCTCGAAAGGCTGTCTTCTCCCCAGGACTGGCCCAAGACATTTGGCACCTGAAGTGAACCAAAAATGGCACCTTCCCCACCCACCCACCCAACCAGGGAAGAAGGGGTGAGTGAAGATCTGCATCAGGAACAAGGGGAGTATAAAGAGCTACATTGGGAACAAGGAGGGAATGAATGAAGGAGTTTCTTATTTTTCCAGTCTCAAGTTTATATCAGTTTGCAATTTAAAAAACAAACAAATCCTCGTGAAAGTTCAGCAGCATTTTACTGCAATTTTCTCATACACATAGAATCATAGAATCTTAGAGTTGCAAGGGACCCCAACGGTCATCTAGTCCAACCCCCTGCAATGCAGGAATCTCAGCTAAAGCATCCATGAGAGATGGCCATCCAACTTCTCTTTAAAAACCTTCAAGGAAGGAGAGTCCCGCACCTCTCATGGGAGTCTGTTCCACTGCTGAACAGCTCTTACTGTCAGAATGTTTTTCTGCATGTGTAGTCAGAATCACCTTTCTTGCAACTCGAAGCCATTGGTTTGAATCCTACGCTCCAGAGCAGGAGAAAACAAGCATGCTCCCTCCTCCATGTGACAGCCCTTAAGGTATTTGAAGATGGCTATCGTATTTCCTCTCAGTCTCCTTTTTTCCAGGCTAAACATACCCAGTTCCTTTATTGCTCGTCAGTTCCTGTTTACACACTCTGCCACAGTAGAATATCATTATTGCAGATTCCTTAAGTAGAAAGAGTTTGCCCATGTGGAGGTAATGTGCCTGAAGATTTACCCCACTACTTACTGGTTTGCCCAATC